TAGACACGTATTCAAAAACGTTCTTATTCACGACAGACGAAAATTGGGCCGACGAAGGGCCTGGATTTAAGGCGATAAATGTGCCTGGTTTGGGAAAGGTTGGTCATTAATTGGTTTGAACATCATAGAGCATCAAATTAATCGCTCATATTTTATAGGTTGGATTTGGTATATGCATGGATCTTAATCCTTATAAATTCACGGCTCCATTTGATGCCTATGAATTCGCGAATTTTCATCTTCATCAACAAACTGACATCATACTTTGTTCGATGGCCTGGTTGTTAAATAATAGTGAAACTTCGATCGTGGATTATTGGCTTCAACGTTTATTCCCTTTGATCAATGATGCTGAATATAAAGGTTTCAGGCCAGATGTGCGTAATCCGGAAACTGCAATAAAACGTAACGTTTTGTTCGTTGTATGCAATCGCACTGGAACAGAAGAAGGTAATTTGAAGCAATGCTACGAAATTTTTATTGTCATTGATATTTAAATTATCTTTGATTATTTAGGCACAACTTTTGGCGGGAGCAGCACCGTTGCGTCCATATCGCCTCGTGGTGAAATTCACATGTTGGGTTCGTTGGGAATACACCAAGAAGATGTTATTGTAGTTGACGTTCCGTCTCTGTGATCACAGATAACGTTATTTTCTTTTTTTTGATGCTTTTGAGTTCTATGAACTAAAACATTCCCACGTGTATAATAAAAGCACATAGCCAGCTATTGCGTAGCAAACTAGATATGATGAAAATACTTTTGACTAACAGTCTAATATAAAATTTCTTTCAACTATTTAATATTATATATCAATTACAAATTATATTAAACAGAATACTTTGATCCTTATATTATCAAAAATAAGTAGCAATATCTTGTCTATTGTATTTAATATATTTGAAAATTTTCTTGTTAAACAAAATTAATCAAAGGTTTGCAATCTATAAAATTCAATAAGATAAAAAAATTTCTTGTTATTATTTAAATTGTGCAATATTTATTTAATGACTCAAATTTTTACTATAATTAGTCTAACAATTACTTTTATTTTTAATACTTTGTTTTGTTTTTTTAAATCTAAAATTGACTTAAGATACTTTGGCACTAACTTTATCAATTTTTGACATAATTCAAATTAATTTTTCTAATTTTTTTTTTATTAATAACATGAATTTTTCTTTTAATATAATTTTTTTTTTTATAATCAGTTTATTGATTTTTTTTTTCAAAATTATTACAAGTTCTTAATTAAATTAAGATCAAGAAATTATAATTAAACATTTGGAAATATTAATTTTTCAATAAAATAATTATAAATTTTATATTATACTATAAATTATTATTATATTGAAGTATTTATAAATCACAAAATATTTGATTTATTTGTTTATCAAATTTGATAATACTTTTATAATATAAAATTATTCCTAATTTTTTTTATTACAAAATATTATTTATATATGATATGAAATATTCACTTTTTAAAAAAATTACTTTATTAAAGCTATAACTATCATAGAAAATGAAAAAACTCTTTTCACTGATCTCCTTGCCAATACAAAAACAGATGTTTCAAGAAAATTTTTATATTTTTTTGTAATAAAATCTATATACTTTCATTAACAACACATATATTAAGAAACATAGCCTCCCCCACTTGTTTCTTTTTCTCTTTAATATAAACTTCTTGTATTTCTGTGAGTAAATATAAGAAACTTCTACCTACAAAATTAAAGGCAAAAAAATTTTGTTAGGAAAAAAAACCTGTAGAAAAAGTACTACCCTTTCTTCCTCCAGAGATTCAAAACTCTAGAAAAGACTGATATAGGTTTCTGAAACTCTTCTTTCATCTTCCCCAAGCCCCTCTCCTATCTTTTCAAGTGTGTAAACCTTTTTTCTGGTTTTTCTGGAGAATTTTCCTACCTCAGCTTAACCCTGAATTTTTGGTTACACTAGAATCCTTGAATGATAATTGGCTCGAATTTTGGACTGGTTGAACTACACATAGCAAGAAATGTAAACAAGACATGTAACTTCCACATGCTCAATCTCGTACAATATAAAACCTGATGATACAATAGGCTATAGCGAAAAAAGCAAGGTGACAAGGTGTTTTTTTTGTCAAGATGCACTATGGTGCTCCCCTCTTCTCTTGAACTAATTTCTTTTCTCTTCAAGATCAAAAAAAGTCTTATTCCAATCCAGTAACAAGCTTCCTTCATTGTTGATTATTCCGAAAAGGCATCAAACAATAATTCTCTAAGGTATAAGTCTTGTTTCAAGCAATAATTCCTTATAAATATAAGACTTGTTATAAGTATCTTGAACATTCTTGGTCTGCAATGGAATAGTAAAAATTAAATGGTTTATCTAGCTACAGGTGGTGGTAAAAAATTTATCCTGATGGACCAAAATTAATATTGAAGGGTTTTTATTTATCAGAACAAATTTTTCAATTACCCCTTTTTATTTCCCTTTTCTTTTCTTAAAAAATAAAAATTTTTTACCTCTTAGGACTACAGGATCATTTGGGATAACAGTCTGAATGTAGGCTGGCTGAGATCTTTCAAGGCATAGTCTTTGATGTCTAGTTTTGAAAGGGAGCAACTTCTTCATTCCCGATAATCACATCTAAAGAGTTTAGATTTAAAAAGTCTAAGATAATTAATACTACGCAGTAATAGTTTAATGAACCTACTTCCTTGTAGTGAAATAGTTAGTAAATAGCTAAATCATGTGGGCGATATGGTGGTCTTGGTATTAAGGATTTAAGGATCATGTACAAATCTAAATTTATTGATGGGTGTTCTGCAATTTCGTGATAGTTTAGCTTTAGTATAGTGTTATATATTGTACTACTGTTTTCCAAAATTGGATGAATAAACGCAACTTTTGCAGTCTGATTAGAGGCAAAAAAAAAAAAAAAAAAAAAAAAAAGAATAAAATAAAATATATATATATATATATAATTGTTTATATAAATAAATGAATTGAAAAAATAATATTAATCACTTTGATAAGTTTATAAAATTCTATAGCCTTAAACACCATTTTGCTCCAAAGATATTATCAAAGGTATTACTTAGGGTGCTATGGCTAATCAATCTTTAGTCAATATATATAAGGTCATCTATAGCTATGTAATGACTTTATGAAAGTACTCAAGCAAGTAACAGTAGTTTTTTATTACTCATTTATATAAATCACAAGAAATAATGAAATAAAAATATCATATATATTTCTAGATATATATAAAGTATATAGGGTAGTTAAAGGAATAAATAATAAAGAGTAATAAAGGGCTTAAAAAGTAAAGAGTAATTAAAAGAATGAAGTTTTACTTCACGCTTGGTTATATGATTTGTAAAAATTTTTGATATAAGTGTTGACATATAAAGGTATTTGTGGAATAATAAATAGGAATAATATACAGTATGTTTTTAATTAATTATTAATCTTGTTTTTTTATAGAAAATTTGTCATTTAATCAAATTAAAACTCTGTTATTTTGATTCAGGTCTTAAGCATTATCATTGATAAGATAGATAAAGAGTATCATTATCACAATAGTTAACTTGTTTTGTCTCTTTTCCTTTTTTATATATAGGATCATTTTTTTCATGCTTGACTTGATTATAGTGTAATTATTGCCCAGGTCTTAACATTTACAAATTATTTTCATGATCAAATTTTTCATTATAGATCTTATCAAGTATATATCTTTATTCGAGATCTTTACTAATACATATTTTTTTTTGTAGATGGGTCTTGATTTCTTTTCTCTCCTCACTTCGCAATCCAGCATGATGATTTTTTGTAATGACAAGTTTATCATGATCTACTGCATTCCAGGATTTTTATCAAGGCTGGTTTTTCTATAGGGTATGTATCTTCAAATTTTCTTTTTATCACATCACTTTTCTTCTTATTATTGTTAAATTAAATTATTATTATTATTTATTTTTTTTGTAGGGCCCTCTATTTTTCTTTATATGGCATTGTGATCTTCAGTATTGTGATCATGATCATAATTATAATTATAATTATTATGATATCCTAATGTTAAACATCTGGACCATTATATTGATAAGTCCTTAATATCTTGTTGTTGCTATTCATAGTGCATTCGATTCAATTACAATTTTGTAGGGATTGGCTTCTTTGGGAGATGTGATCTCAATTAAAATCATAATTAAAAACATGATACCATAGCTATTGGAGCTATCATCTATCAATAAGTTTGTTTTCTTTTTAGTTCTGTCATGAGATCTAACTTCATTTTGTTTTATTTGTTTTTCTTAGGTCTGGGCTTTTCTTATGGGTACAATTATAATTCTGATTGTAATTATAATTATAATGAAGCAATTTTCGAAATAGACATTTCCTTTTACAAGCTTGACATTCCTTAGAATAGACATGTAAACATCTTTTTTCTTGATTACTATTTCATTTTGAATAGTGTTCCACTTTGCTAATCTGCTTTTTTTCTTCTCTTTCTTTTCTTGTCAAAGCCTTCTTTATAGTCTTAACAGTCTGAATTCAATTATTGGGACTGTTTTTTTTTTCTGTCAATCATGTGATATAATTTATTAAAGATGTGTTATTTTGTTTACTATTGTAGTAATTCTTATAGGATTGGTCTTTTGCTTATACTTCCTTGTCTTTACTTTTCTTCTTTATTATTAAAAGTCTTAGTCTCAGTTATAACAGTCTCTTTATTAGGGCTGTCTTTTCTTATCTTGGTTATGATACAATGGTTAACTGTCAAGGCCATCTTCTCTTTTGTTGATTATAAGGTAATCTAGATATATTTGCAATGTTTTTTTGTTCTTTTTGCAACATTATCTCTTGGCTCTTGAATTCTACTTATCATTCTTCTTTTATAACTCTTGCTTTCAACGTTCAATTTGCCATTTGCAGATTTTTTTTGACCCTAAGTAATCAAAGTATCTGATTCTGGCTATTGGATTTTCTCAAGTAAGTTTCTCTTTTTTTGTCTCTAAGTTCTCTGCCACATCGTCTCTCATAAATAGTTTTTCTTTCTAGGGACTCATCTGTGATTTCTTGTAGTGTCATTACATTTTTTTTTGTAATTATTGGCATTTTAGTATATTTGTTAGGACCAATGTCACTTTATGGATAAAATGTTGTTTTTTTTTTATTTTTTGGAAATGACTAATACTAACATTGTTCTTTCTTTTTAGAAGTTTTTCTTTGTGGCTTTTAATTTCTATATCATGGCGTCGAATTACTCTATAATTGCTCATTATTCCAATATGTATATTAGAACTGACGTTTTCAAGTAGCGATATTTGGTGACATTAAAAAAAGATGAGTTTCTTCAGATAGGTAAAGTAGAGGAAATGGAATGGGATAGCAAAAAAAAATATTAATTTAATATTAATTTTTTTTTAAACACTAGTATAGACCTTGATTGACAAACTTTACACTAGTTGAAATTCAATTATTTGGCAATATGCCACTTGTTAATTATTTAGCATATGATAAATAATTTGTCAAGTATTTGTCAAACATTCTGCAATAATTCAGTATATCTAATTTGGCAATAATTGACAAATTTTTTTATCATATGTCAAATGAATGACAAGTGACATACTACCAAATAATCAAATT